CTGACAGACTCCTGACGGACCTCAGGCTTCAGACTGAACTCAGACTTCAGACGGAACGATATTCAGTCACCCTCCCATGAGGGCGTCATGTGGCACAAGGCCTTTTTAACGTGGGCTCTCCAAGCTCGTGGGCCCGGCCAAAAATATGCCCATTGAACCCGTATAAACGTGTTCAGGGTCGGTTTACCTCCCCGAAAGAGACTCTGCCCTTTGGAGTAGCCTCCTTCAGGTTCCTCCCCCCCGAAGGATCTATCAATTATCGCCGAATTCAGAGACGAAACTCTCTTTCTTCCTCTTTAGAGGCGCAGTATTTATTACGTATGGAATAGTCCATTATGCTATTATGGGTAAGGTCCCATAACATAGACACCCCCACACACACACACATATATATATATATATATATATTTGTGTGTGGGTGTGGGTGTGGGTGTGTATATTTGTTTGTGTTCGGAATTTTCGGACACGCCTGTGTCCTTCATCAACGGACCGAGGAACAATCATAGGACTGGGAATTACTCAGCGACATATGTTTTTGTAGACGGTGTATTTTCCTCGGTGTACGAAACTTTTTTATAAAAATAAAGTTGAATTTAAAATTATCATCGGTGTAAAAGCGTTAGACAGGTCTATTATTATTAGTGTGTGGCGTGTGGGGAGTGAGATTGTAAACACAGAGAAAGTGTGCGAAAAGTTGGGGATGGGAAAAGACGTCTCGCGTGTAGCAAATTGTAGCAAAAAAATGTCGGACAAAGTAGTCAATTGTAGAAAGATGGGCAGTGGTTGTAATACAATTTGATGAATATTTATATCTATCTATGAAGAAAAATATATGGAAAAACAAAAATCCGTATATGCAAATATACTGTTTTAATGTTATTTCAATGTTGACGTCAGACGTTTCGGTCTAGTAGACCTTCTTCAGGTCATAGTTATTAAAACAATGGATTTTTGTTTTCCCATATATTTTTCTTCATACTGTCGGATCTATATCCATATATTTGCTTACATATCTATCTATCTATCTATCTTTATATATATATATATATATATATATATATATATATATATATATATATATATATGCAGACCAATCTCGGTTTGCGAACGTTTCACATGTCGAACAAATCGGTTTTCGAACAGAAAATTTGAGATGAAAATGTCTCGGTTATCAAACACTATTTCGGTTCCTGAACAACGTTGCCGAACCGAGTCGACCTGAACGACCCGAGTTAACCTGAACAGAATCACTACTTAGTCGACCGCTGTATTGTATCCATTTGTGTGTTGTGCTGTACTTTTCTTTGCCAATTTTATTGTACTGTTACATTTTTTCTCTTCATTAGTCCTCAGTCATGGCTCTAAAGAAAGCTCGCGGTGATACTAATAAAGAAAAAAAGAAAAGAGAAAAACAATTGTCGGTGATATTGTCTCTTCCTACTCAGTTTCATATGGCAAAATCAACGATCTATAACATTCTTATAAATAAAGAGACAATCATGTCTTTTCTTCCCTTTTTCAAAACAATAAACTCTCTTTCCTTCCCCTTCCCCTTACGTCATCAAATCTCTTACATACAGGTACGGTAAAATTAAAATGGTCACCATTATTTTATCTATTTAG